GACCGCCACCTCCGTCTGCTCCTCCGCCAGCGCCGCCATCTTGCGGCTGAGCCACCTCGCGCCGTCAAGCGTGACTGCGTTTTCGCCACATGGAGGGCGGGGCAGCGCGTTTCGCGACATCTGGGGCAGACCCTTTACGGCAGGGGGGGGAGCTAAGGAGGAGAAAAGGCATGAGCTCGGGCGACTTGGACTCAGGAAGTGGGAGTCGCTCACCGGCTCTGCGACGGTGCCTGGTGGCTACCGTTTATTGCGAGCGAGCGGGCGGGCGCGCGGGCTGTATTCAGGCATTGACACACACGTTTCACATTATACGAGCTCTTTTAATCCAACAGCTTTAGAAGGCGCTAACCCCGGAGTCTTTATACACGGCTTAGCCAAAACCCAGAGAGGTTAAATACCGAGCTATAGTCACACGGAGGAAGGATGTCCAGATTCAAGCCCCGGTATTTAATTCAAAAGCACATGCTGTTTATAAGAAGGAAGTTTCTGAGTTACTGGTAAGGTTTTCTAATGTTGGGAGCTGAATTGTGCTTAGTTTTTATTTCAGTTTTCATTCCTGTAAAAAAAAAAAAAAACTAGCCTTTGAACTTTACAGTATATGTGATTGTAATAAAAGCCTTTAAGCCGGATGTAGTTTTTAAACATGGATTTAAGGCGAAGGCAGGGACATGATGATCGCTGCTGATCGAGGCCACAGGGTAGCCATAGCAAGTTCTAGATCAGCCGCGGCTACACAGGGAGATCCTGTCCCCAAAGCAACAACAAAAACCACCAACAGGTGGTTTGTTCTTTCAAGATAGGGGTTCTCTCTGTGACAACCCTAGTTGTTCTTGAACTTCCTTTGTAGACCAGGCTGGCCTCGAACTCAGAGAGAGCCACTTGCCTCTGCCTCCTGAGTGCAGAATTAAAGGTGTGCATCACCATGCCTGCCTGTTCTGTCCTCTTTAAGAATATGGGGTTGGGCTATAGACATGGCTCAGCAGCTAAGAGCACTGGCTGTTCTTCCAGAGGTCCTGAATTCAATTTCCAGCAACCATATATATGGTGGCTCACAACCATCTGTAATGAGATCTGGTGCTCTCTTCTAGCCTGCAGGCAGACATATAGGCAGAACACTGTATACATAATAAATCTTTTAAAAAAATAAAGAATATGGGTTTGGGACTGGAAAGATGGCTCAGCTGCTCTTCCAGAGGACCCAGGATCAATTACCAACACTCACACACTGGCTGTAAATCCAGTTTGAAAGGATACAACAGGCAAAACACTAAGGCCCATAAAGTAAAAAATAAATGATAATACAATATTTTTTTTTTTAAAAAAGGACACGTGGTGATGGCACACACCTTTAATCCCAGCACTTGGGAGGCAGAGGCAGGTGGATCTCTGAGTTCAAAGACAGCCAGGGCTACACAGAGAAACCCTGTCTCAAGAAACAAAAAGCAACAACAATAAAAGGATGTGGGTTTGTAAATGGGGTATCCACCCAGAGAAGACATGACTACAAGTCAATAGAAAATCTATTAGCTAGCTACTGACTACACTGGATGCTCAGGATCCCAGTGTAGCACTGAGTTTCTGGGGATGAGCTTTTAAGCATAAAGGCCATATCCTGGGTTGACACACTTCAGTTAACAAGAACAATTGGCCAGAAGCAAGGTGAGTCCATTTAGAGACTCTCCCAGAACTATGTACTCTGATGGATTAGGCATTTGTTTTTGTTTTGGCTGGTGGTACTGTCTGTGTGCTGAGTTTTATGGCCTAAATGGTTACTTCCACCATGGAGTCAGTTATGCTAAGATCTTGGGGCCTGTTACAGGTTATCTTATTTAAATCATGTTTTTCTATGTGATATATTTATTCTAATGCATCTAGTTCAGTTTTTGGCTTCAATTGGAGTTGAATTCCTATTCCTATTTCATTATATTTCTCCATGAATTTTCAGTTTCTTTGGATAATTCTCTGGTGTTCCTATTTGAGCCTCATGACCTTATAGTTACCAGCTCCCCATGCACACACAAGCACACACTCACTGGAGCCTGCACACGAATGAAGAAATGCACAATTCAGAAATCTTCCTGTGGTCTGTCTCTAAACATCTTCCCAGAGAAAGATAGGGGAG